ATAATTCCCCACCATTAGTTGGACATACTAAATAATCAATATTTGGTTCCAACTATAGTCCAACTAAAGGAATAACTAATGAGGACATAACTTCCCACCATAGTTGGACATACTAAAATAATAAAATACACTTTCCAAAACCAATTTGAAAATTTGGGTCAAAAGGTACATTTTATTCTTGGAATCCAAAGAGGTATATCATATCACATAACTTACTCTATAGATCCAAATAACCAAGTAAGCTTCGCGAAACAATTAATATAGGTGGCTAAATTTTGGGAAGTAACTAAATACATGTTTTGCCAATGCAAATCATGAAACTTAGAATTATTATTGAACTAAATTGATAAATTCCAAGAAATTGTGATAAAATTATTATCTAAATACTTTTCTAAAATCTAAATCCCAATTACTTCAACATAAACAAGAAAGATAAGTAAGATTAGTTAACTTAAAACTAACCAATCCAAAAGATACGGGTGTCACCACCACAGTCACTACTCATGATTACTGAACAGGCTACAAAAGTATAACTAACTAGAGTCAAGCTCATAAAAAACAACATCAATACTTGGGGAACAAACCCCGGTGTTCAAAAGCCAACAAAAGATCAGTCAACATCATCTAAACATCAATATCCAAAGTAGAATCTAGTCTAGAATCCACCAACTCATAACTACGCACTAATCTAACTCGTGCGCTCTCAAACACTGGACCCACCTGAAAGGGGTTATAAAAACAAGTATAAAACAAACCCGTTAGCAAATTAATGCTAAGTATAAAGCCATTGCAACCTATACTTAGTATAAACATGCTTTCTCAAGTGCTCAACTTAAACACAATTCTCATGCTTTAAACAGATGTCTCTAATCATAGCTCATCATGCAATACTCATGCTCAAACTGATAGATAAAGAGATACTTAAAACTCAACAAGGAAGCTCATGATATCATGCCAACTCATAAACCACAACAAGTACTGTACTTCTCATCATACTCTAAATGCAAATCATGCAAGTCATATAACAAGTTATGTCATGATGTTATATATATATATATATATATATATATATATATATATATATATATATATATATATATATATATATATATATATATACACTCTCGCTCTTATGTAAAAAGAAATACTTTTTCTGTGGAGGTTTCTGTTGAGTCACATTGACTCGCTTTTCTCTTCTTTCACTTGAGTCTCTTGACTCGCTTTTCTCTTCTTTGCTTTCTTGCTTTCTTACTGTACTCGTGGGCGAGGTAGGAACTTCACGAATGGTGAATGAACATATCCGGGCTCTGCATCTAGCCGGCCTAATACTCATCTCACCCACAGAACCACTGTCTTTGTTTTTTATCTCAATCTCTGTGAAATCAGGTATCGTACTTGTCAGTGTGCACATCCCCTATCCAGGATTCCAAGCCCGGCGGGTAGTATCCAACCTAGTAACTCGGGAATATCGACCAAGTTACTTCATAAATCTCTGTCGGTCCTCTTTGACCGTTTCTTTCCTTTCTCAAACTTCCTTTCTTTCTCTTTTCTCCCGAAAGGACCAAATCCAAACGGGCCTCCAAAATACTATTTTCTCATAATAGATAGCACATAGATATATCTCATGCAACTTCTATTCATGCAACAATTCTAACTTATGCAAGCTTATGCACATAATTTTCAACAACTCCTCTTTCTCACACTTTGGATATCAAATATCATGCAATCTTCTCAATGCCAATAGATAATGATTTTCCAAAATAGATATAGGTTTTTGAAATAGATTTCAGGCTTTACTTAGAGAAAAAAATGCACTTTAGGCAATGAAATCTACTAACATGTCATTTATTGTGAAATAATATGCTTTAATTCTCATTCACTGTGAAACAAGGAATTATGCACTGCTTTATACTAAAATCTCAACACTTGGCAAATCTTCTCAATAAATACTTAACAAGTAATCAAGGCATGTTTCTCAATCAAATAACAACGCTCAAAAGCTATAAACTCCTTTACTGATATAGTTCACAAACAACAACAACAAAATATTCATTTCCCACATTTCTATCTGTAAATCATGTTTTCTAACTCCAAATCTAATGTAACTAACTTCTACTAGTGCGTCGTAATGAGCCCGGGTGTCCGAGCCTCAAGGGCCCACGAGTCCCAGTTCGAACAACGCGTAGTTGAGCCACAGAGGGCCCGGCCAGAACCAACTTTGGCCTGGAGGAGCTTGGTGACGGGGCTTGTGAAGCCCCGTCGCTTGGCTCCGCCAAGCAACGGTCCTTGGTAACGGATCTAGCTGTGATCTGTTGCCTTGGTCCGCCTCACTACGGAGCTAGCCAACGGATCATGCCTAGCTAGATTCGTTGGTTAGGTCTGTTGGGTTTAGTGGTGCACCATCTGTGTGCACTTGACCCCTTCTTCTTCATCTGTAGCATTCTCAGATAAACAAAAACACTTTCAAACCTCAATAGATCAATCATAGATCATCAAAAACACACAAATAGCTCAACAACAAATATTATCTAGCATTTCTAAGCATCTATTTAAAATTCTAGCTAGCATTTAACAGAGCCAAAAATTTGGTTTGGGAGTCCATGGTTTATACCTTAGCTTCTCCATTTTCTTCTTGTGTGGATCCCTTCTTCCTTTCTACTCAACTACTACCTCCTTCACCGCCTATACACCTCAAGCAAATAATACCTACAAAGCTTAAAGAGAGATTCTCAGAGATGGGAAGCAAAGGAGATGAAAACTTAAGGAATAAGATGAAATAGATAGATGATAATGAAAGCTAGAAACCTTACTGTGATTTTCTTCTTCTGCCAACAGAGCGCTCAAGGAGTAGAGAGGCAAATGAAAGGGATCAGGAGAAAACATGGAGTTACTATTCTATCTATATGGGTGCAAAACACTAGGTTGATCACAAATGGTTGGTTGAGGGAAAATGAGTAATTTGGCTTGATTCTTAAAATATCAGACAAGGTTTATGGAAATTGCATGGTTCACCTTGTATCATGGACCAAGGTCTCAAAAATGATTTTGGATAACTTGGGGTCAAAAGTAGATTTTCTAGAAGTAGTTTCTAGTTCAAAATACTTAGTTCAGGTTTCACAGGTTCCTTTCAGGTTTCACTTAGATTAACTTTTTGGGTCAAAACTTGGTACATAAATGTACCCGAAACATAGGATTTTCGAAATAGGATATTCTTGGTGTTGAATTTATTTAAAAACTGGGTAAAAAAAATATTTAATTCATACACCGTTTTCGAAATAAAATTTTTGAAAGAGTGAAAATAGCTATTTTGGAATTTTATAAAATAGGATTTAGGAAAATTATTTTTGGGTTGTGACACCACCGACCCGAACTCCCGCGGGGGATGCTCTGCTGAGTAGTGAGCAACCAGCTGCCCTCCTAGAGAAGCTTAGCGACTTGATCCCCTGGGCAACGAAATGCACAATTGGACGGCCGACCAAATCGGCGAATGGGGCGCCCAAGATCTGGTGCAGGTATGCGCCCCGCTATTCTATATTTCTTAACCGTTTTCTTCGTAAAATTAGTTGATCCTTTATGCAGCTGAATCGCATTCTTATCGCCCTCTACTGTTGAGCCAAGGCCGCGGCGAACAGGGCGCCCAAGATCTGGTGCAAGTATGCGCCTCGCTATTCTATATTTCTTAATCGTTTGCTTCGTAAAATTAATTGATCCTTTATGCAGCTGGCTCGCATTCTCATCGACCTTTTCTGTCGAGCCAAGGCTGCGCAGGAGACCGAACCCCTGAAGAAGACCGTCTCTCTCTAGGAGGTCGAGATCAATGACCTCAAACGCAGGCTGAAGTCAGCGACCGAGAAATGGTCTGCAACGAAGAAAGCGGCCAATAGTACCTGGGAATATGCCCAAGAGGTTATGCTTAAGATCAACGACCCGAGTCGCCTCACTGCTCACCTCTACCGCAATTAAGCGCTGAAGTCAGCGACCGAGAAATGGTCTGCAACGACGAAGGATGCCAAAAGTACATGGGAATATGCCCAAGAGGTTATGCTTAAGATCAACGACCCGAGTCGCCTCACTGCTCAAGTCAGCGACGGAGGCCTTTTTCCGGGTGTACACACTTAATTGTGAAAAATGTTTGAATACCAAAGAATTTTATTGAAACTGAACGTATGTATATATACAAATTACAAATTGGGCGAAAGTCCCATTTTCTGAACCAAATCCTTTTAAATGGTGGCATGTCTCTCTAGCTAGGAAGACTGCAGAGTTGTCACAGTAGATAGGAAGACTACAGAGTTGTCACAGTAGACTTTCAATCGCTTAGATATAGAATCCATAATTCAGACTGGGTATACGAAGTTTGTCGCTGTCGAGCCGATCCCTCCCCTAGCCGAGACAAAATAGAAACAAGCCCCCACCAAAGGAGTGAAGGTAACAAGAACAGAATGCCTTAGTCGTTTTGCCAAAGGTTATAGATTCAGGTGTAAACTGGAATGTATAGTAATAAGAACAGGAGTCCGACCCCAATTGTGTCAAATACGCTTTTGATCATTTAGTTGGGGTGCATGGAACATATATGTGTTAATATTAATATATTATCATTATAGTACTTCAAAATTTGTTGTATGACTAAAGAAGATAATAAAGGGGGATTTCGTTGCATTTTGTAAGATCCATGATCAACAATATTAATACATTTTGATTTGAAAATAAAATTAAACTAGTGTAATATAATTTGCAAAAATTTATAATTAATTATTTTAAACATATGATCATATTATAATTAAATAAATAATATTTTGATCTTTTGAAACATGTATAATATTTTCATCATTTTCTTATTATAAAATTAATTAAAAGAAATCTTCAATTATGTTTTAATTAGTGTAGATATCATGGAAGTTTCTAAACATTACTTTTTAAATTATTAGTGCTATACGAAAATGATAAAATATTATTTTTAATATGAAAAAAATAAAATATTTATATACTTTACACTATTACAAAAGTGACATATAGTCTTACATGATAGGGATGACAAGAAAAATCGCCACTATCTCAAAATACGATCTTGAATTCAAATATAGAAATCCTATGATGTTTCACATTAAATATAATAGATTGCTTTATTATTCTTCTATATTTTTACCCGTCCTTATTTAAGTTGTTTTTTCCTCGTCCTTAACTAACTTATTGTCATCCTTAAGAAGCTTGTCCTCATCCTTAAGTTGTTTGTTCTCATCCTTAAGGAGCTTATGCATGTCTTTACAGAACTCTTCCTCGTCCTTACATTGGTTGTCGCCGTCCTTACATTGCTTATTCTTAAAGTCCTTACAATGCATGCCCACAAACTCCACAACTTGTTTTTTCTTAAAGGCCCAAAGTTCCTTCTCCTCGTCCGTAAGTTGCGTGCCCTCGTCCTTAACCTTGCCCTCTGCAATTATAAAATAACCACAAAATTATTAAAGAAAACAAAATCTTAATATATATAAATTTTATTTAATATATATAAATATAAATATATAAATTTTAATATAAAACTATAACTATATATACCTTTATACGCCTTGTCGGTACATTCGATTTCACATTCTCTGTTGCATACAAGTACGGTTTTTCCTTTGTCTTTGCAAGCGGAATGGCATGGATCGAAGCATGACCTGTAAACCGAAGAAAGCGAAGCGTCGACAGTGAGGACAAACATGCACACCAGACACACTGCAACGTTAACCAACTTCTGGGCAGCCGACATTGTTTATTGTTTGTTGTTTTATTATTGATGTAGTGTTTCAATTCCTTAAGATTGATGATTGTTGATGGGCAATGGTAGTATTTATAGTTAAAGCTAGGGGTTAGTTAGTTGTGGTGTTGCGTTGTTTTAGGATATGGATGCTTTAATTTACTTTTCATCGGATAGGGATTTATCACAAATTAATTAATTAAATGTGGATCTGGCCTGTCTTCCTTAAATTAATTCATTGCTTTACTGCTTAGCTTCATCCTCTTCCACTCAATTCAATAATCTCCCTCATTAGATCACCTTAATTAGCTTCCTCTTCTGCGCAGCTCCACAGCTTCAATACCTCAATTCAATATATTTATTTTTTTAAATGTTACTAATTAGTTTTATTATATTTGAATTTAAATAATTATAATTATAATTAAATTCGAATATAATAGTAGAATCTTGAAAGTGGATACAATGTTCATTTTGGATAGACTGTACTCTTACTATTCTTCCAAAATAATTATTTATTTATTGGATAAATATAATAGGAATAAGGATCAAATAGGCCATTGAACTACACACCAATCTACAATTAGGCCATCCAACTCAAAAAAACTACAATTAGGTCCCTGAACTGTGCAAATTCAAACAATTGAACCTAAAATGACTTGTTAACAAGGTAATTAGATGAGGTGGCGGTTACTAAATTACTTTCTATTTTAAAAAATTATTTTAATAATTTTTAAATAAAAAATGTAAAAAAGAAATTGTTTAAAACGGGAAAAACCCGCCGGAGGAGGTGATATTCATGAACTTGGAGAAAAAGACGAAGAGGTTGACGACGTTGTTCCAGTCGACGGGTATGGCTACCGGCAATGAAGGGCTCATGAGGGCTACCACATATCGATTTTGCAGGTTAGAAGCTTGATTATCCCTCCCGGCCTTGATTCCATTGCCCCGTCGTCGTCTCCGCAACTGGCAGGCAAGTCTCCTGCATTTGCACTCGCGCCGAGGAAGTTGCTGCCACCTTCAAACTCTCCGCCATTCCAATCACCACCAACGTCTTCCCCCCGATGATGCCGGTGAACTGGGGCCTGACACCCCTGCTCCTTCACTCGACGGCGAGACGGATTCATCGGCTACCAACCAAACAGCGCACATATGGCAGCCGATCGAGGTTTGGGGATCTTCAGAGGTTTGGTAGCCGAGGTAGCATTGGTACCAACCAAACAGCGCACCTATGCTAGAAAGTCTTCAGAAGTTTGTGTTAGATATACAATAGTCTAACTATAATAAACCATAGTATACGAGAAACCTGACCTCGTATGAGAGCGGAAGCGTAGCCGTGTTGATCTCCAGCCATAGTTGATGTTCCTGTTGTGTTGCCTCTTAACGGTAGACCGTTAGCCATGTTTTGCCTCAGACCTGACTCAGAACCCTAGATGGTGTATTGGTGTCTACTGAGCGGTCTGAGTACCGTAACTGAATGTGCTATCTAATCCATAATCCTGTATCCCATCAATCCAGGTTATATTAGGCACAGAGTTTGGTTGACTAACAACTACTAGTTATTAAGTCCAACCAGACCACTTAATAAGCCTAGTCAACTTGCACCACTTAATTAAGGCCCTAATATATAATATACAATATATATTATTAGGGAAAATCTTACATTCTCCCACTTGGTGCAAGTACTAGCACAACCTTCATCAAAGAACAAAACACACGAATCATAGTGATATGTCCTCTATTTAATCAGAGTAGTATCCATTATGGTCACATGTATTTTAAGTCTCCAACTTAGGTCCTTAATGGACAAACCCTATGTTTATTCTCGGTACCTTAAGGGATGTTTCTCAAAATACATTATGTGCACAACTGAAGGAGAAAACGCATCCAAATTGTACAAAAGAGTACACTGTATGATCTCTAAAACTTTATAAGCATGCCTTAAGTAGAGATCTCTTAATGTTAGCATAATGCTAACTATATTCCATGACTTCTTTATAAGTTAACTTTTAAGTACTATCTCTAACAGCTAAGAGTTTGGAGTTGACACGCCTGTCACTCCCACTCATCAAAAATAGCCAAAGATAGTCAAGTCACAGAAGCATTCCAATAACTTAGACAATAAACCAAACGTCTTAAGTCCATAAATTTGGAATCTTAAACATACACCATAACTTCCCAAATAACTTCAATGTTCACTTTAAATGAACTGAACATAATAAGTCTTACTTATATGTCCCACAAAATTGTTTTGAGCCTTACAAATCAAAATGGCCCAGGATTAATTTTGAAGAAACTAAAGACTCTATTAATCACTGAAGAATTTATGAAATGACAGTGCACCACAAATTAAATGTTTTTGTTCTAATAAAATCCTTAATATTGTTGCAACATTTTCATAAATATGTTGCACAACCAAATGTTCAATAATTTGAACTTATGAATTTATATGAACGAATACAAGATTAATACTTGTAGAATATTTTGGACTTATTGTTTAACATACAACCCAATTTGGAATGTATGAATACAATAATTAAATCCAAAAAGTTTAGTGGAGTATCTTAATGATCTTTTCCTAAATGATCACTCCCACTGACTAAAATATTCTTCAGCGAAATTAATAAATGAACTTAATAATATACATACTCATAATTGATTTATTGTCCAACTAACAAATGAAGACATAATTCCCCACCATTAGTTGGACATACTAAATAATCAATTTTTGGTTCCAATTAAAGTCCAACTAAATAATGAAGATATATTTCCCCACCATAGTTGGACATACTAAAAGAAACAAAATACATCTTTCAAAACCAAGTTAGAATTTGGCTCAAAAGATACATTTTATCATTATTGGAATCCAAAAGGTATGTCAAATCACGTAACTTACTACAGTTAGTCTGAAAAACCGAGCAAGATTCGTGGATTAATTAATAAAAGTTGCTAAATTTTGGGAAGTGACTGAAAAACATGTTTTGCCAATGCAAATCATGAAACTTAGAATTATAATTGAACTAAATTTATAAATTCTAAGAAATTGTGATAAAATTATTATCTAATGGGTTGAGGGATTTATTGACATAAAACTTGCCTATGGGCAAAAGTTTTAATTCTATTAAATCCAATTAAGAAACCCTTATGATAATATTTTTCACAATTACTAAAGAGCCAGAAGAATCTAGAGACATAAAACTTGCCTGTGGGCTAAAGTTTTACTCAATTAGATCCAACTGAAAAAATATATTTATGATGAAACCATTATCAAATGAGTTGAAGAATCAAATGATATAAAACTTGCCTGTAGGCTAAAGTTTTAGTCAATAAGATTCATTGCTATCATTATGATAAAAAACTTAATCATGTTCCTTTTCTTAATCCCTGTGGGCAAATTAAGAAATATGATCTAAAGTTTACATCATAAAATTAAACTTCATGATAGAATTGAAAATTATTTACAAACAACCATATAGTAAATAAATAAATTTATTTCTATCATCACTGATAAAACTACTAAACTACATTCCGATACATAATTGCCTGTGGGCTAAATTATGACCGTAGTCCAGTATTTCATCCTGATTAATTATACAAATATAACGAAATTGCCTGTGGGCTAAATTCCATCATATTACATACAATTAATCACAAATGATATGTCCAAAACTTTATGTGATCAAAATAAACTGCTTAATATATAATTTTAACAGATTAAGGATGATGTGGCTACTCCAAAACCAAATTAAAATTATAAGATCACTAGACAATTATCAAATTCATGCCTAAACTTTATGTGATTAAAACTTAATAATCTTAGGTAGCTGAATATGTTGTAGCTATTCCTTAATTAACCAAGATTGAAAACTTAAGAGACTTTAGTAAATTAAAGATGCTTTGGGTATTCTTTAATGAACCGAAATCAAATCACATTGGCAAGGAATACTTAAAATTTTGACAAACAGATTATACCAGATTGTGATGGGAAAATCTAAATATACTCCAATAAAGTTGGCTAAAGACAAAGTCTCACTGAAAACCAATTCCTTAGATAGAGTATTAATCTTAGGAGACTAGTGGCTCAAGATGTCCTTAAGTCATGGCCATTAAAACTAGTATGTCTCCCCGATTCATATATACTTAATGTATAACTGTTTGGGGGTATGAACCTAAAACTGTAGGGTATACACCAGTAAACTGTATGGTTCACCTATGATTAAAGCTTAAATGGTGAACTAAAAATAGCGGACTAAACGTGCTTAAATTCAGGCACTACCGCAACTAAAGTTTATGCGTAAGTCCAACTTAAATAGGAACTAATATAATTCCATCTCAAAGTATGCATTGCTAAAGGCATAATAAAATTGCATAATTTAAAAACATAACATTATGCGGTGGACAAATATGCATAAAATTAAGCATTAAACTCATATACTCCAAATAAATTGCATAACTTAAAGCAATTTACAATATGAGATTTTAAAGTATAAACTTAATATTCAAACACCAATGAGTCCAAACCAAAAGAGACCCAACATTTTGAATAATAATGTACTGAATATATACTTTAAATTTTTTTTTTTAAACTATAAGCCCATGGGAAAATGTTTTAATGCATAAAAAATCAAATTTATGAGAAATAATTGAATTTACAAATTCAAACAATATCAAACCAAAAGGATATGTTAGCATTTGTAAATTAAAATCTCATAAACCTTAATTACATAATTAAACTTAATATTATGTACTTAATGTGATCGAATGCATAAAACAATCTAAAGAGTATGAACCAACTAAAGGATATGAATTTAAACAAAATATTCATTTATTCATACTTAACCAAAAATGGGCAATCAGAACTAAAATCATAATTCCAAGAACTAAATGAACTATGGAATTAATGGCAAAAGTCAATTGCCTAGCAAATATGTTTTTCCAAGATTACTAAATTGATTCAAAATCACTCTCCACAACTCAGATAATAATATTATTATTATGAATGGCAAAATTGCAAATAACCAAAATAGCACTAAATAGCCATAATAATATTA